GGGCCGGCCGAGAGAGCGCAGGCCAGGTCACCACGCCGGGCCGGCCGAGAGAGCGCAGGCCAGGTCACCACGCCGGGCCAGGAGGGGCCGGAGGGGCCGGGGGGCCCGGGCTCCATTCAGCAGCGCCCGGCCGCTGGGCTCGGAGGACGCAGTTCGCTGCGGGAGGCTCCCGGCGCACGGGCTATGGCCAGGTGCTGCTTCTACGCGGTGGGGACGCTGTCCCTGCTGCTGCTCGTCTGCAGCGTCACCCTGCTGGTGGCCCGGGTCTTCCAGAAAGCTGTGGACCGAGAGATTGAGCAGGTGGGTGAGACCAGATGGGCGGGGGAGGGGGAGGGGGAGGGGGAGGGCGCTGCGCAGTGGAGTGGTGGGCTGCCCAGAGGGCGCCCCGAAAGGCGCCTCCCGCTCTGCTCCTGCCTCTGCAGGGCAGTCAGTGGCCCTCTGTCCCCAGGTCCTGATGCTCCCCATCCTCCCGCTGCTTCTGCAGGGGGCACGATTGTCCCCTCGACCCCGGTGCCCCACTCTCTCCTGCAACTGTCGTTGCTGTGGCTGCTGCTGCCTCCGCAGAGGACGGGAGTGACCCTCTGTCGTCCCCAGATCTTGACACGCACACACACACACACGCACACACGCACACACACACGCACACACACACACGCACACGCGCGCACACACGCGCACACACACACACAACACACACGCACACACACACTCTCTCTCTCTCTCTCTCTCTCTCTCTCTCTCTCTCCCTCTCCCTCTCCCTCTCCCTCTCCCTCTCCCTCCCTCCCTCTGTCTCTCTTCTTCTCCTTCTCCTCTTCCTGCTGCTCTACCTTGGCAGACTGGAGTATCGCTCTATGCTCGGGGGAGTCTGTCTATGGCAAGCGGCTGAGGGCGTATCGCTGAAGGATGGATTGTAAGGGACGTTGCAGGGTCGCTCCTGTTCTCCCTTGCTGCCCTCTCTCGTCTTGGGCCATCGTTGTGTCAGACCCAGTGTAGCTAAGGGTAGTGGGGGGCGAGGATAGAAATGTGGGTTTTACACTTCTTCACAAAGCTTACACTTCTAGGAGTCTTCTCCCGGGTCTGCTAACCTTTCCCTGGCCCCCGCCCCCCCACTACACCACTCCGCCCCTCCCCCTCCCTCCCCGTCCCCCCCTTTACCCTAACGTCAGCTTTCATAAAACCAAAAAACAACAAAGGAACGAAATCAAAACACAGCTGTAGATCGCGGTTGTTCTCGTGGCTGACAGGCCTTTCAGCTTGGAGTGGGGGAAAGGCTCAGAACTCTAGTTAGTGTATTCTTGTTTTTGTCGGCAGGGTTGGGGAAGGGTGATGGGGTGGGGAAGTGACCCGACCGGCTGAGGTTCAGCCCGTATGTAATCAAGTAGAGCTGGGACTTGGGGCTGCATAGCGCGACTCCTCCTCTTGGCCCCCGGAGAGGGAGGACTTCTGTCCATTCTTCTTGCCTGTGCCTGACTGCCTGAGTTAACTGTTGCTGTCTTTTGTCAACAGTAGGCCCTTTGATCCAATGTTCCATGTGGCTCTCCTCAAAACTTCATTTTCCTTCAAGCCTAAAATTCTTAGTAATGACTCAAATGCATAATCTAGGGCAAGGGTGGGGAAGCTGCGGCCTCGAGGCCACACGTGGCCCTCCAGGTCCTCAAGTTTCAGTCCTTTGATTGAATCCAAAGGGCCACACTTGAGGACTTAAAAGGCCACGTGTGGCCTCGAGGCCGTAGGTTCCCTATCCCTGGTCTAGGGTTTACAAAACCTAGGATTTCACAACTTTAGAATTGGAAAAGATCTTCCAGCCCTTCATTTTATGGGAGGCCTAGTTAACTGAGGCCCAGAGGGGTTGGGACTTGTCCAGTGTTGCCAGTTAAGTAATTAATTGCCCTAAATGGGATTTGAACTCAGTTTTTCCTGACTTCAAGTCTAGCCTTCTCCGGTAGCCTGTATTGCCTCCAAAGCACACCATGAAGGAGGTAGCATAAAAATCTATCACCCCCAACTTGATAGATCAGAAATTATATAAGGAACCTGCCTCCTACCCTGGGCACATCACTTACCCTGAGTGTCAGTTTCTTCATCCTTCATATAAGGGTTGGGCTACATGGTCTCTTCTCTAAATCAGGGATTCCATAATTCCCTCAGAGAAGTGATATTACCAGGCTGTGGTCAGGTAGCTAAAGTAAGTGGAGTCTAGGCTTCAAATTGAGGTTCCTAACTTCCAGTTCCCAACCCTCAAAGCCTACCCAGACCTGTTGGAGCAAGCACTTTGCTGACACACTGCACATAGAAATTGGGGGGAAAAATTCTTAAAGGACTTGGAAAATCTTATTTTCATTGGGCCCTTTATAAGTGGACTCAAGATGCTTGGTTACTTTTGAGAACTATTCATGATGGAACATTTCTTGAAGCCCAGCCCCAGATCGACTGTCCAACACTTCTCTTGTGTGGCAATGTTTTCCAGCTGGTGATGTGCGTATGCTGTGAGGATGTCAGGCTCTAGGGGAGGGGTGCCACGGTGAGGGTGGACAGCAGTACCTGGGTTTGACAGTATGAATTTAACAGTTGGCATGCTGGAGCAAAGCTATTGAGTTTGACATGCTAAAGAGACAAGGGAGGAACCTGTCTTTGTATCCCTCCTTTCTCACTACAAGCATCCACTTGTAATGGCAGATCTGAGTTTTCAAACTCCTCCAGGGTCAATTAGTTGAGGAATCCCTGCTATAATGCGCCCAGCAAATATTCCCCTAACCTCTCCTGGAAGAGCCACTGTTTCGCAAAGTAGCTCATTATACTTGAGGAGCGGTTTAACATTCAGCATCTTACAGCGTAGCTGACATTTCCCCCTCTTTGCAACTTCTAATCATTCTTCTTAGTCTGAGGCTGAGAAAAACAAGCCTCATCTCTTCTGCATAAAAGCCTTGAAAATACTTGTCACATCCCTCCTAAATCTTCCTCCAGGCAAATCATCCTTGGTCTTTTTAATCCCCAGTTAGTCCTTGTTCTGTTTCTAGTTCATGGACTCATCGCTGTTGTGGCCTGGATATTCTCTAGTTTGTCAATGTCCTGCTTAAAATCTGGAACTCGGAGCTGCCCACAGTGCTTAAGATGCAGTCTGACCCAGGCAGGGAGCCAAGAGTCAGTTATCTCCCATTTTCTGGACACACACTCTCTAAGATCACTTGGACTTTTCTGGTGCTGTGTCATTTCTTTTGACTCACATTGAGCTCGTTCGTGGCTCTCTGAAACTCCTAGGGCTTTTTCTTAAGTGTTGTCTTGTGAAGGCACACCTTTCCCATCTATGTAAAATGCTTAGAGAAGTGATTGGCATACAGTAGGCATTGTGTAAATGCTTAGTCCCTTCTCATTCCCATGGTGTACTTACCAAGTTTTGTCCTTTTTAACCCAAGAATGAGACTTTACTCTCATATTTATTAAATTTTATCTTTTTAACTTTGGCCCATCCTCTTGACTACCCACTGAAATGTTTTTGGATCTCGATTCTGTCATCCATCATGTTAACCATTCATCTTAGCTTTCTGTCATTTGCTCATTTTGTGAGCATCCCATCTATGCTTTCATCCAAGTTCTTGATAAAGATCTTGAACCAGTACAAAGTCAAGGAATATCCCTAAGGTATTCCACTAAGTGCTTCAGGCCCTTTTTATTACAGAGAAACAGATGACTAAGGAATAGCTTTCATGTGACCTGATGGGCGAAGTATTGAGAATCAGAAGCCTTTTTTTTCTCTCTTGGTCTCACCAATGACTCCTCAAGATGCTGGGCAGCCCTCTTAATTGTTTTATTCCTTAATTTTCTCATTTACCAAATGGGCATAACATCATCTCTCCACCTACATCCGTCTCATGCGGATAGTCTAAGTATCAGTGAGGCCATTTTGGTGAAATAGTTTGAGGATATTATGCATCTTTCTTTCCTCATTTTTCCTTTTACGGTCAGGCTGCCTTTCCATCATTATCTGGTACTTAGGTGCCTAAATGAAAAAAGTATAACCAAGTAACTCCAGCAGCGGCCACCGGTGCTCAGGGTGTGAGGGTGGAGAAGAGAGGGGAGCTATAGACGGGAGAAACACTGGATTTACGCTAGGGTTGGGAGGTCCTCTAGGTCCTCAAGTGCAGCCTTTGACTGAATCCAAACTTCACACAACAAATCCCCTTAATAAAAGGATTTCTTCTGTAAAAATTGTACTCAGTCAAAAGGCTGCACACAAGGACCTAGAAGGTCACTTGTGGCCTTAAGGCTGCAGGTTCCCCACCCCTGATTTACACCAATGGATAGCTTCTCACTGGCCAGCTTTCAGAATGTTAAGAGGTCAGGCGCTTTTTCTAGGGTTGGTAAAGTCAAGAGTGCAAATGTCCTAAATTTCTGGGGTTAAGCCACCCCCCCCCCCACAAGTATTAACAGGCAGCTACATAGCACAGTGAGTAGAGTGCAGGGTCTACAATCAAGAAAAACTGAGTTCAAATCTAGCCTCCAATACTTTATGAGCTGAGTGAATACTGGACAAGTCACTTGACCAAATCACTTTAACCTTTGTCTGCCATAGTGTCCACCTCAGTAAAGTGGTGATAATAATAGTGCTTACCTTCCCAGGTTCTGGTGAAGATCAAATATGATAAAAAAGACTTTACAAACCTTAAAGTTCTAATATATGTGTTAGCTATTATTTTTATTATTAAATGTAAGGGAAGGGAAAAAGAAACATTTTAGATACAAAATATGTATTTCCTACTTTATAGAGATGTAAATATCCTCATGTGCATATTAAGAGGCTAGCAAGACAATTGACTTGCCTTAAAGGCACAGCTTTTATTCATACATTTTTTTCCTAGATATTCATCTTTTTATTATCTCACAACCTTGTTTTGTGGTTTGTGGGACTGACTGAATTGAAACTGATCACCCGATTGAAACTGATCACCCTAGCTGTATGACACAAAAATTCACCATGTATAAAGGCATAAAAACCTTACAACCAATGCAGAGAAGTGGAAATATTAAATATATCCTTTTCAGATCATAAAGCAATAAAAATCAGTCAATAAAAGGCCATGGAAATGTTGAGGTTTAGGGTTGCTAGGACCCCCAAATCACAATATGCACGTCCTGCCCGAAAGAATTCAACCCAAGCCTTATTTCAGCCAAAGACAAGGTTTATTAGAACATCCACCATATTGGCCAGACTCTCAAGGAATCTAAGCCTTTGTATCTAATTTGTAATTTGTATCTAATGCAAGTGGGCCAAACCTTAACAATCTGAGCCCTTGGCTAGACTC